TCCTCTCTAAATGATAATTCAGAACATCACAGATTTGGCACTTGTAGCAGGTCTCGGGGAAAAATTAATTAATGCAAACTCCAAGTGCTATCAAAATTATACATTTGGAGCGAGCGCAGATACAGATACAGAGAGAAAGAGAGATGTGAGGACGTTCTGGTCTCATTAAGAGAGCAGGCAGAGTGGAATTAGTCTGAATATAATGACAGGCCACACTATCTCATGTAAAAACAGCCCTGTTTTCCTCTCTCATTCATTGGCACTAGTAATTAGTTTTGGCCCTAAAACTGTCACCCTTTACTCTAGAAAAAGGCAGATGCGATTTGAGGTGCAATTTAATCTTGCTTTAATGAAGAACTAATGGACGCATTGCAAATTACTTTTTCCTCCCCTCCCCTCCAACCCTCTGTGTGATTGAACAGGGGCTTGGGAAAAAAATCTATTTCCTGCTTTTGAAAAGATCAAGAGTATCTTTGATAATGGGGAGAGCGTCACCGGCAGCTTCATTGCATCGAGCCAACAAGCTCTTTTACCCGAATCACAATTCAGTGGAGAGGAGGCCACAATTAGTGACAAAGCAGAGAAAGCGCTGCGGGGCCGGGGCGAGCAGAAAGCCTCTCGGTGCTCCAGGCTCCTTGTTAGGAGCAGGCCCTGGAGGTGTCACACAGGAACAATGAAGCCTGATAAATTACCCCCCTGAAAAAAAAAACTGAAAAGATGTACTACTAATTTTCAATTACACCTATAATGCATTCCCAATTGGAGAGAGAATTTGGACATGTGTGGAGGAGAAGCTAACAACCATAGGCTCAAAACACCTCTCTGTTTGTCTAAGAGCCTATGATATCTAGAGTGTATTAGCAATAAATTACATGGTGTTTAATGTAACAGCTCGCTGGTGATTTAACAGAGAACAAGAAGGAATATTGATGCCAAATAATGTCTCCTTATTACATTAGATGTTTTTTTTTGTTAGAGGATAATCACAGCCAACAATACCAAATTGCATTCTCATTTAATTTAGCCTAGTCCCAAAAAGAAATATGTTTTTATTTTGAAAAAGAACATTTGTGTTTTTTCAGGAGAGAGAGAAAAGAGGAGAGAGTTTGAAGTGTGTGTGTGGGAGCTGCCTGTCTGCAGCTCTCTAAACCACTTAAGAGACACTGTGTTTCAAACTGGCATCGCTAACAGATGATGTTGTAGAGAATATATCAAGGCCAAATAATAGTCCTTGAAACGGGTGAAAGGGGATGTGAGAACTGAGGAGGGTCAGACATGTGGAACATGTGTATCTGTCTTCCTGTGTGTGTATGTGTGAATACATTTGACTACAGCAGGAGCAAGGCAGAAAGCCTAATGGGAGTGGGCTTAACTCTTGCACACAGCCTCGCTACATATCTGATTACTGGGACCAGTAATTTTCTTTCCTTAAATAAGGAAGAAATTGGATAGGATGAATGAAATTTGGCTGTCATATTGCAATGATGGTGCAGCAGGGAGATTATGTGTTTCACATAATCGTTCATCATTTCCCAACCAGTGTTCGGGCTTAGCATAATGGAATTGGTAAACTGGTTTAAATCAGAACGTGAGAACAGACTATCAGGCAGACTGTGAGGGTCTGTGGTAATGTCTTCAGACCAAGCAAGAATATTTTCAACACTGTGCAGCACACACACACTGAAATACCAAACACTACAGGGAGAGGCTGTCTGCATCTCTGTCTCTAAACACTGTCAGAATACATCTAAACATGCCTTAAAACACGTTTGTTTTTCCGCGATTATTTTACCTTATTTCACCTTTTCTCTGCCTGTGATTTAAGCTTTTTTCATGCATGGACTTACATTTTGTAGAAGAGTGTCCGGACTATGTCTCATCCTTAAATGATGAAGATAGATGATCAGACAAGCCAAAAACCATTTAAAATGTTGTTACATATCAACAATTTCCTTTCAGATATTAATACAATACATCTAATCGATTCAAATAATAATATAATAATAATAATAATAATAATAATAATAATAATAATACACTTTATTTGTATAGCACCTTTCATGCACAAAGCAGCCCAAAGTGCTGATGATTAAACAATAAAGTACAATTGAACAATGGGATTAATATTCATATTACAATATGTGTTATACATAATGGATACTTTTATGTAGCCTTTGAGTGTGCACGTCACCTTATTCGTCTGTCTTAATTCAATCATTTTTTAACTTAAGCATTTTCCTCTGCACTGCATTTGAATGTGCCCAGAGTCTGATTTCACGGACTACTGTAAGTAATACGTTGTCGATATCCACTCACTGTTTCCTACATGTGTGACCACTGTATGTCGATAATGCTTCTTTATAAGGTACGACACATGTTTTGTGTATACTTATATTGTATACAATTAAAGTTTTTCCCCTATACTATTAACAAAAAGTCTGAAATTAAACTTATCTATCATACCTGTTGAATGTGGAAATGACTACGATTCCTTAAAAAGGGACACTCAATGGTATTTTACTATATTAATAATTAGTATTTTAATTTACATTACCGGAAAGAGTTTAGATGAAAAATAAGTATTTTATTTCAGTTGATCATAATAAAAAAGAAAATACTTTTTTATGGAAGCTGATGCTGAATAAAAAAATGTCCTGCAATAATCTGTGTACTTGTGATATGCTTCTTCACAAATTGTTATTATTTTATTTTTTGTATCCATTTCAAAACTTTTCCTAGGTTGATTCATTTTAAGTCATGCCCAGCCAAGTGATCATCTTGATGTTATGTCCACGCAGAAGTCAGAAGCCTTTCAGAATTGGAAGTTACTTAAAATGTATAACACAATTTGACAGTTTACATTTATGAGCCCAGCACTGATCAAATCCAACATTTCTCAAATTATTATTGTGATACATTTCAAATAAGAGATTATTGTCTTTATTTGATACACATATTTTTCCCATTGAAGTTTGTTTTACCCTTGAGCTTTGTATTGAATCTCATGTGGAGTCTCATGGAGCCAGATCAGAATGAATATGTGATTTAGAGGAATAACAGTTCCCAGGAGGTTATCTGTTGGCCACTAGGTGTCACAGTGGTTATATCTAAAAGACACGTTGCCGCCTGCTCTCTGTTTGAAGACCCTCAAAGTAAGTCTAATGTTTCTTTGTCTTAAATGAGCCAATCATTTATGAATGTATAACATTAGCATTAGTATCAAATTATCCTTAACTATTTATCAGCTGCATTGTTGATAGATAAAGGTTTGAATGATGCTGGAAAGTGCATTTTATAGATTTCACTGTACCATATTATGTCCTCTGTGAAAGATAAGTGGAGGTCATCTAAAATGATTATGTTAAACCTGATATTTGATTTTATAAATGTGTAAGTAAAGGCCCTAGCAATAGAACAAAATATCAATACAGCATATTGTGTTGAGTCAAGGATCATTGAAAATAGGTGTGACTATCACTCTACTGCAGATAAACTTCAGCACAGTGATTCTTTGATATATTGTATACCTCTTCCAGATCTACAGCACATGTCAGTCATACAATTACTGGGACATTAACATTAAACGTCTCAATAAGGATTTTTATAGAACAAATGTAGTGTTCTGATGAAGGTTGTCTTCCTGTGAACTGCTTAAAAAGCTCTCGTATTAAGAAGACTCAGGTCTCATCAGCAGCTTCATCATGACATAAATTGTATTGTATGATTTTTTTTAATCCCTGTGGCCTTGCAGGGGTTTACTGGACCTAATCCATACCTGAAGTATAACAGAGCACAGAAACCACAACTCTTTATATTTGTAAGGTATGGTCGTTTTTGAGCAGAACACAAGACGTTTGTTTTTACCAGATCAGGATGAATGATGATTTAAGACTTCAGGTAAAACCGGAGATTGAGCAAGTGATTTTAGTTAGAAATTCTTCTAATCCAAAAATATATGGCAACAATATGTATTACTTAGTGATTCCTTAAATGATTAATACTAAGTGGAGAAACCAAGGTTTTACTTAGACAAAATGTGATTTCACACAAGACAAAAAGGTTGCCTTTGGGGGACATTTTCTAAATGACAGTTTGTAGGACACTTATGGCCACTCCATGGCATTTATAGGCTAAGCAGACTAATGATTGTACTATCCCTCTAATGTAAATAAATAGACTGTTGACTGCTTTAGCCAGTATTTAAACTTCATTATGAAAAGGAGAAACCCTGTTGTATTATCATATTATTTGATTTTGATAATAATAATAATTTATAATTGATAAACATAATTGTAATATTGCAAATAGGAGAGAGTGAGCTCATTTATACTGTAGGGTAGATTGAGAGCATCATCATTGAAAATACTGAACTTCCTCTTTCTTGTATTTCTGAATGACCACCTGAAGTAACTTCCACATTCGTGGTGCACATTTTCACTGGAGAACCTTCTTCCTACTTGCCGTACATCTTTCTTCCAACTGCCCAATGCTGACATTATTGTCATGTAAATGTATTAATATTAATACTGCCCAAATTCTATCTACACCTGGCTATGTGAGGCTCCGCTTAACACACTTCTACGTTTCTATTTTGTAACATTTTGTATCACAAATAGGCCTACACTTTTTTATTTATTTAACAGTTTTATTTAAATCAATATAACTTTACACTATAGTGTTTAATCTGCAATTTGCACCTCCCTTTGTTCTTGATGTACATGTTTTTATAGTTGTACTTTTAACTTTACTATGGGTGTTAGCACACAATTTGGCATCCATTTGGAATAGCCTATGCAAAGTAACTATTAACTAATGATGGAAAATAAAAGTAGTGGAGTAAAAATTACAATATTGGCATCCAAAATGTATTGAAGTATTGTGAGAATAAAGTAGCATGGGACGATGGAAACACTACCTCAAACATGTTGCCTACAGTACTTTAGTAAATGTATTCAGTTACTTTCCACCATTGCCTTTACTCTCTTAAAGGGCCATGACAACCAAAATACAGCAGGAAGATGTCAGTTGGAGCTCAGCTGTAGTTTTTTTTATGTATAGCCGTTAAGAAACAGAATCGGGCTTTTTTGGCATATTTTCTATCGAGGTGTAACAGTAAACATAGCAGTCTACCATGGAGTCACCTCTCCTGCCTCCACACGTCTCCCCTGGTGCCTCAAGGAGCACCTGTCGTCCCGACATCCTTTGCGTGTCTAATATGGAAGAACTGGTGGTGGAGGTCCGTGGCTCCAACGGGGCTTATTACAAGGTAAATACTGGCTTATCAGTTTAGCGTCAAACACGACATCATCGTTGAACGATACAATATTTAAGTTTGATTCTCACGGTCCAGGCCAACGGTTTCCAACTTGCTCTGAACCCAATAGCTGCTTGCTATTAGCTTGTACTAGCAATGCTAGCCAAAATTAGCTGGCTAAGCTAGCACCGTTCACTTGTTTTTGCTAACTGACACTTTTTAACGACCTTTCTTTATACTTAAAATGGACGAAACAAGTTTTTATCTTAGGTTATTGAAATATATATCCCATAAATGCTTTTATTCAGTGTTTTTGACGAGCGGTTACAGCTTCACCGAGCTAAAAGTTAGCTTACTGTTGACGTCAAAAGATGTGGCTCAACTTAATTGTGTTTAGACCTATGGTTTAGACTCTGCGTTGACAAATATGTGCTGCTGATTATAGCTGTATATCATGTATTCGTTTAGTGGAGTTGTATAACTGATATCAGGGCTGTTGATTATATATATGAATATGTTATTAAAGTATGTGATGTTTAGGAGGCACCGTGGCTAGTTATGACAGGGATTCTGAAAGGCACCAACTCAACGGCTGTCTATTACTTGATACTTCATCACGTCGAAGCTATTTTTTGTATGTGTATGTGTTTGCCAGCTGTTCCTTGTCAATCCTGACCAGCTGGCATGCCAGGAGAGGGTCACTGATACCGCAGACTAAAAGCTATTTGTAGACCTACTGGCTGTCTCTTTGCCTCCCATCTCATCTCCTCCGTTTCCTCTCTCCTTCTCTGGTCTCCTCTGCTCCACGAGCTCTTTCATTTTCCTTTCTGGCCTCAACTCCTCACATGACTTGTTTCTGAGTTCCCCAGCTTGGTTACATGACTCATCATGACTCTTGAACTTTATGGCTCTAATTCTATGTTTCTATAAAAATGCAATGTGATTGACACCCTACCTACAAACCTTTAACTTTGGAACTGTCTTAACTTCCTGAACACTAAGGACATGTTCATTTCTGGTGTGTGTTTACATCCAGTCAAAACACTTCTTTACAGTTAACAGTCTTGATGTGTATGATCTGCAAAAAACACTGGAAAACTATTTATACACTTCAACTAATGCTTTTTACAATCATAGATTAATTTGTATTTTTTAATGTTTTGATCAATCATTCTCCCTCTACACAATATAACATGGCCATTACAACTTCTACAATACCTTCAAATTGTATGTTAATGGTTTTGAATTGAGTTTTGTTACAGTTTGATTCCTACCAGCATTACAAAGTAACATGCACTGTAACTCTGTTACTCTTAATAACCAGAAGCACTTGCTGTGAATAGTCTTGTTGGTAATTATGGTCTGCCTTGAACTTATATATGTTTTTATCACAACCCAACAAACAAGGTAGTTGTTTTTAGGCCAAGTCTCTGGGTTATGTGCTCTTTACATTGCATTGGTCCGACTTTTGTTGAGCTCCTGTAAATGAATACCAAATGCCTGTCATGCATCCTTTTCTAATATTGTTTATTTCCATAAGTCAAAGTCAACACTCTCTTTCTTGTACTTAAAATAGGTGGCACCTAATTTGAGTCAGCGGTCATGTTCTTATGTGTTTACCCCGGTCTGTGTGTCCTTTAGGGCGTTGTCAAAGATATCCACGATGACTCTCTCACCATTGCCTTTGAGAACAAGTGAGTGGCTCTTTTTCCTCTGTTCTAGCTGTTATTTGTCAAACATGACAAATTGTAGTACAAATGTAGTACACTGCCATGTTTCAGCAAGGTAATAAATATGACACGTTATTTTCAGTTGGCAGCCAGAGCGCCAGGTTCCCTTCCATGATGTCAGGATGCCACCGCACGCTGACTGCAAGAAGGAGATTGGAGAGGGCGAGGAGGTGGAGGTGAGGAGGTCACACACATGTATAAATATATTTTAATTCCCTTCATTATGCCTATTATACTTGTGTCTTACCAGGTTTTAATCTCCCGTCAGATCCTCTCCAGAGCCAATGATCAAGAGCCTTGTGGTTGGTGGCTGGCTAAAGTCTGCATGATGAAGGGAGATGTGAGTATTGTTATGAAAACACGTATCCACACACTCCATATTAATACTGATACTAACACAGATACATTTTTTAGTGGTGCTCTGTTGTAGCCTTATTGTCATTCACTAGCAGAGCATTGATCGAAGTATGTAGCTAATATAGTTTTTATGTTGTCTTTTATTAAAGTGTTATTTGAAAAAACTTGTTTTAACAATTGCACTTTATATAATAAAATCAATTCATCAGAATCATAATATGTTATCGTGGTGGACATTTGGGTTTTCATCAGTTGCTTCATTTTAGAATGCAATAAAATAAAATAAATAAAAAATACGATAAAATGATATATATAAACATAAGAAGTTAAAGTTAGAATGTGCAAAAAATCAAATTGAATAAATATATTTACATAAACATTAGAAGTAAAGTAGTATAGTTTAAGTAGTTAGGTTTTCAGAAGTTAAAGTAAAAATGTGCACATTGTTCTACAAGTATATTAGAAAATGTTGTTGCGGAATGCGACAGTTTTAAAGGGATCACTTTAAAATGTTGGTGTTCATTATTTATTCCCACTGAGCATGTCTCTCTTCTCAGTTTTACGTGATAGAGTATGCAGCCTGCGACGCCACCTACAATGAGATCGTGACCTTTGAGCGTCTGCGTCCGATCAACGCTAACAAGGCCATCACCAAGAACTCTTTTATCAAGTGCACTGTCCCCGTTCCTCAGGATCTACAAGAAGCGTATGTTCATTATCTTACCACTGACAACTTCAGGAGGGACACATCTGAAATCCATGTACTTAATAATGCAATGATAGTAATGAAAAATAATATAGAAGATTGTTTATTGTAGGTGTTGCATTTATCTTTATATATCTCCAATACTGTTGGATATAGTATTTGTTTACATAAAGGATTAGGAAATATTAACTACAACATTTTTCTCATGTACCAGGTGCCAGAATGATGGCGCCCATAAGGAGTTTAAGAAAGCTGTGGGAGCCTGTCGCATCACATACTGCCCTGAGACCAGCGAACTAGTGATTGTGGTAACAGGCTTTGGACATTTTGATATTCATTTGAGCATCCACACTATTACATGATATGTTACGACTTCTTCTTGCTCATGTTTAGACAATGGTTGACTCAATTATGATTATAGTTGTCGTCAACAAGGGAGCAGCTCAACATATTTTCTTTCTTTCTTTATATTTTATTTCCTGTGGTTGTATTGTGTAGTCTACCAATGAGGCGACAGTGAAGCGTGTGTCCTTGCTGAGCGACATGCACCTGCGCAGCATCCGGACCAAGCTGCTGCTGATGTCACGCAACCACGAGGCCACAAAACACCTGGAGGTCAGTGGGTTTAGTCGCTCTTGTGAACACATGAGGTCACACATGAAGCTTTAGCGCTATATTATATGAACTTTGAATTATGTCTGGAGAATCAGGTCTGCACATTAGCCGGGGTTTCCCTTTTTGCACATATTGGGCGAAACAGGAGATTGTCTTTTTCGGTATCTGACATTGGTGTTCTCAAAAAAAGAGGTAATGTCTAGACCAGTGGTTCTCAACTGGTTAGGCCTCGGGACCCACTTTTCTCTTTGTCAATAAATCGCGACCCGAAATTTTGAACCACTCAAATCTATTCAACAAAAAATCGTGCTGTAATATATATACGCTTTTCAGCATACATTATTAATTAAAGTGAAGTACAGTGCATATATCCCTTATATCCAGGGGTGCACATCACTGGTACGCAGGTACGCATGCGCGGCAACAATCTGAAATGCGTACCGTCACTTGTGTCACAAAGCGCATTTGCGTACCGACATAATTGTGAAGCTTTTCCAGAAGGCGGTTAGATCACCGGACGACAGAGTCGGTCTCCGTGTGCACAGACAGGGCTGCTGTTAACGTCGGTCTGTACAACAGGAGATTTTTAGAAATACTAACATGATATAAACTACGCATTCTGGTACACTCTGAGAAGAAAATAAATACATCTATTACTACCCGACATTTTAATAATATTTTATGCCATTGTTTGTTTTTCACTTTGTTCTGACAGCTGAACTTGCTGCTCCACACAGAGAGAAGAGTAAAGAGGAGATAGTCTGTGTGAATTACTTTAAATTGTGGGTAAGGGTAGATAGCCCCCATTGTTCTGTGACCTGTCAATCATCAAACCGGGGGTCATATTTCATTATGTGTTCATTTTCATCTGAAGTTGTACCCATGGATGTATAAAGAATAGTTCTACCGCAAAGTTATTCTCCGTGGGGACTTCCGGCAACAATCTTGATTCTGATTGGCCAGAAGACTCGGAAAAAACATCAGCAAAGATGTTTTATTGAGAAGATGATCACTACGTGACAGAAGTTTTCAAAACCGTTTATGGTCTCCGGTACTTCCAGTCCAACGCCTACTGCATGCACAGCGTTAGAAAATCGGGCCTTCAAAAATAAGTTTGACTTTTTTTTGAGATTTTTTTTTTCTTCACTCGCACATCTGCGACCCACTTGAAACGGGTCCGCGATCCACCAGTTGAGAACCACTGGTCTAGACAACTTCATGTGTAAAGGGGGAACCATTTGTAACCTCAATCTGATAATTGTTGTGAATAGTTTTACACATAAGAAATGAAACAATTTGAGATATGTAAACCCAAAATTAGATGTTTTTTTATGTTTTGATATATTTTACTGCCTGTCCGCTTTGGCTCTAAAAATAAAGTTCAAGGATGGTGAATCATTTATAACTAATATATTAACTGATAGCATATGAAACTTGTGCAGACCTCCAGGCAGCTGGTGTCGTCCTTCCAGGAGGAGTTCATGGTCAGAACGGATCTGATGGGCCTGGCCATCGGCAGCCACGGCAGCAACATCCAGCAGGCGCGCAAAGTTCCAGGAGTCTCTGCCATCGACCTGGATGAGGAGACTGGAACTTTCAGGATTTATGGAGAGGTAGGTTGTCATGTGCACAAGTCTTGTTGGAGGCATCATTTGAGTGATGGGGAGCAACAAATGTTGAACTTTGTGGGACAGAATGTACATGTTTCATTCTTACCGTGGTTGTTTGTTGATTTGTCATTGGATTTATCCCTTATTTTGTTATAATAAAGCAACTGTGTGCATGTGTTCTGAAGATATAACAGAAAAAGTAACCCTGTGTTGCCTTTCAGACAGCGGAGGCTGTGAAGAAAGCCAGGAACTACCTGGAGTTTCTGGAGGACTTTGTCGAGGTGCCCAGGGCCCTTGTTGGTATGTAGACACATTTACACCCTAAGCTAGAGATTCCAAAATCTTTGGCTAGGGGAAGACGGCTATGAGATCCTCAATGCGTTAAGAGTAGTGGCACATTAGAGACAATTGTAATCTGATTTGTATTACAATATATGTGCAACTCCTTATTTACCATAGTTATTCACTCCTTTAAAAGATGCTTATAGTTTTGTCGGTCCATCATCTCTTTGACTTGCCGCTCATATTTTCCCTGCTCTCTGTCCCCAGGCAAAGTGATCGGTAAGAACGGGAAGGTCATCCAGGAGATTGTGGACAAGTCGGGTGTGGTGAGGGTTAGGATAGAAGGAGACAAGGACAACAAGCAGCCCCGACAGGAAGTAAGCCTGCTACTGCCTTTCTTCACTTCCTGCTCAAAGAGTATAGCTGAAAGCTGTCACCAGTTTTGCTAACTCTATACAAATAATGTGCACACTCTTTCCATTTACTCAGTCCCATACTAACATAAGCCCTGTGTTTTTGTGTGTTTTGACGACACAGGGAATGGTCCCATTCACATTTGTCGGAACTAAGGAGAGTATCGGCAACGTTCAGGTCTTGCTGGAGTACCACATCTCTTATCTCAATGTAAGGAAACGTGTGTGTGTGTGTGTGTGTGTGTGTGTGTGTGTGTGTGTGTGTGTGTGTGTGTGTGTGTGTGTGTGTGTGTGTGTGTGTGTGTGTGTGTGTGTGTGTGTGTGTGTGTGTGTGTGTGTGTGTGTGTGTGTGTGTGTGTGTGTGTGTGTGTGTGTGTGTGTGTGTGTGTGTGTGTGTGTGTGTGTGTGTGTGTGTGTGTGTGTGTGTGTGTGTGTGTGTGTGTGTGTGTGTGTGTGTTTTGCCAATTCTTTCCATACATCAGGCATTAACTTGGCCACAAGCGTGTATATAGAGCACTGTTAATATTAAAATGCCATACAAATGTGTGATGATCATGTCCTGTGGTGTGAATTTCACTGTACGTGTGTGTCCTGTTTTGCGCATGTATTGTACCCTGTTGGTGCTCAGCGTTTGTTTGTTTTGCACGGTGTGTGTGTAGGACATGACGGAGCTTCTTGCAGAGGGACAGCAGCTAGGGGAAGAGCTGAGGCAGTTTGTGGATAATACACAGGGAAGCAGCCTAGTGAGACTCAGAATAAACAGCACGAGGCACACTGGATGTGATGTGGATGTGTGTATGAAGATTAGGCATTTGTACTGAATGATGAGCCTTTATCGGAACAAGCACACTCTCAGAGATATTCTTGATTTTCTGAAATGAAATAAATACTGTTATACAGAGTGGCGTTTGCTTTCATTGTTCTCTTTATTCTTACCATTTCTGCCTTTTATTCCTCTGCTAGGAGGTGGAAGAGCTCCGTCTGGAGAGGATGCAGATTGATGAACAGTTGCGTCAGGTCACCCAGGGTCACCGCCCAGGTGACAGAGAGAGGGGAGAGAGGGGGGGAAAGAGGAGGAGGAGGAGGAGGAGGAGGAGGAGGAGGGTACAATACAGATGGCAGTGCCAACGCCTCCTCTTTGCATGGCAGTCGCTCTTACAACGGTCAAGGGCGCGGGCGCAGAGGCCACGGCTACAGCACCGGATATGGTATAGAACTTACATTCAAAGTGATCAACTTGTTTACTGTCAGACATTGTAGTGTTAAAAATGTGTAATTTGTGCAGGAAATCATAAACAGTGTGAAAGGATCCAACTGTGCCACAGTATTACAATATCAGAGTATGTTATTTTTATTTATTCAGATTAAAACCCAAAATCCTATCACCATGTTTGCTGCTCTTCCTCAAAACGTTCTGCACATTCAAAACATGTTTTAATGTTCTCTGGAATTTTGAGAATAAAGTCGTATTTTTTGAAAAATCAAGGACACAAGTGATTCCCAGTATTTGACCATCAGTCCTAACCTGTCTGTGTGGCGGTCTCTCTCTCGTCTGTTTGCTTTGCTCTTCCAGGCACCAACTCTGAGCAGTCCAACGCCTCTGAGACAGACTCAGAGCGCAGGGATGAGCTCAGCGACTGGTCCCTGGCTGCAGACGATCAGGACAGGCGAGTTTTTAATATTTATTTTGTATCAAATCCACAAATGTACAAAATGTGAAGCTGTTTTTAGTGTTGGCTATATCATCTCTCTACTGAAATGCAGCTACATGTTATATTGACTGACGGGTTGACTTACAGGGAGAGGGAGAGAGGCTCCCGGCCACAGAGAGACAGCCGCAGGAGGCCCGGACCCGGCAGAGGCCGAGGAGGGCCTGGAGGTCGGGGGAGAGGAGGAAGAGGAGGATACAGCAACAGCTCTGGTAAAAGCCACACTTGGAGGATTTGAAGAGCAGCACATACAATTGCCTTTCTCTCGTAAAAGTCTAGTTTGATTGTAGATTCTACCGATAGAGTTGTGCAGGAATAAGTCCTTAACCCGGATATGAGTTTGCATTTAAACTTTCTTAAAGTACCTCATCTCCAAGTCAATGGGTTTTTTGAATGAGTTTTGGTTAGATGCATATATTATATAAAATATGTCTGTCATAAAAATGGCGGTTGCAAGCAAGTGACTAACTAAGGCCCCGGCCCCACGGGAACGAAAACGGGTTGTATCGGCATATTTCTCTTGCGTATAGCCCTTTAAGCCACACGAGGCCGTAACGGAACGATAGAAACGGACCCTGCAAACGACAACGGGTCCAAAGGTGGATAGATCTGGGAACGGAGCGCTCTAGCGTTGGGGGTCCAACGGGGCCGTGTGGTCGCCTCTATACAGTCATTTTCTGATAATGACGACGCAATAGCCCCGCCTCTCCCCACCTCTGCTGCTCACCCCCGCAAAAGTACACTGCACACTGAATTCAGATTATTTATCTTTATCTCGATATGGACATAAACGCGAGTGAAGTCTAATCTGACAGGACGGAGACACGCAGCTCCTCCCGCTGTGATGCAGCGGGAGCAAAACACACACTTCAAGTCAGATCACCACCCAGCTATTTTAATTACCTCTCAAACTAGTTAAATATGTTTATTTTTACTGTCGAGTTTACTTACTGGATCAGCTGCTGCATGAGACAGACACTGACGCTGTCAGAAGAGAGGAAAAAGAGACAGCCTCCGTGTATTTTATTATTATATATCATTATATCGTCGTTATTCATTTGTTTTAAAGCTCAATAAATAACAAAGAAGACCTTTGACCGGCACTTTTATAATTTTGTCCGGAAGATTTAAACTTTAACACACGTTGACCGGCGAAAAACTCTGCCCGGATCCCTCGTCCCCCACTGCGGAGAATAAACAGAAGTGCAGCCATGACAACCATTCTTCTTCGCTGCTTTTGTGGAGGAAGTTACAGCGCCACGTACAGGCTCGGCATATGTACTGCAGCTTTTCCAGCGGTTGGATCTAAACGGAGCTGTCTCGTGTGGGCAGACACTATCCGGTGTATATTGCGTGTGGACGGAAGCTTTTTGGTGATTGCGTTTGCGTTAATCCTATGCGTTTTGCCGTATGCGTTCCCGTGGGGCCGGGGCCTAAGCTTCATCACGTCAAACTTTAGCCACCATAAGTCGTTTGGATTGTTTCTAGCTTTACGTTAGCTATTTACTTCTGCCGATTGCATTTGTGCTTCAACTATTGAACATATAAGTATCATATTGATTCTTAGTCACAAATAAATCCATTGGCTTTCTGTAGCGAGAGCCCTTGCAAGCCTACAGATATATGTCATCATTGCGTCACTATTATATCTGTGAATGTTGACCCTTCAGCCGGGCCTCGCGACCATGACGATAACAGTGCCTACAGAGTTGCGGAGGCAAACACTGAGACAGACCAGACTGCTGATACGGATGCAAGCGAGTCCAACTTGCCTGCAAACCGACGCAGGAGATCCCGAAGGCGCAGAACAGACGAGGAAACCACTCTGATGGACGGCATGAGCGAGTCTGACAACACCTCAATGAGCGAAAATGGAATAGGTAGGGAAGCCACAGCTTACCAGATTTATACTCCCAAACTCAAACAGTTCAAACATCTCAAACACTGTTGTCTGTCATACATTTCCTAAAGCTACTAGTTCTGTTTCCAGCTGTCGGAGTTGTGCAGAATGTGCATCATTTCCCATTTGAAGTGTCAAAGGAGCCTGTGCAGTTTAAAGACAGGCCTCTGGTCTGAGAGGCATTTTAAGCCTCAAATCCCTCTCTTTGTGCTGGCCTAACACCCTTAGATGACTCAGAAGTTAAACCTCAGCGTCGTAACCGTAGTCGACGTCGCCGCGCCCGCCTGCCTGAGGAGAGGCAGCCAGGTAACCATGGCTACTGCCAGTATACCCCTCCCCTAAACAGTGCTCCTAATGGCTTGGCTAAAAGGTTGCACACATCACCAACAACATACTAAATCAAAGAGTTGTTGAAATGGTTTAGATCTTATTAGTAATGATGTAATTGCTTGTTTTTGGATGTGGTTGATGTACTAGCCTACACTGTTCACACTGGTTTGCTGTGCAATTTAGAAATATGCATCGTAATACTTGTTCACTAACGACTATAATCCAGCTTGTTTGTCTTCACGTTGATATTTTAATGTTCTTCACAACAGTACCAAAGTGTTGTGTGTGAAATTAATATGTTCTGATTGTGGGTGACAAATCTGCTCAGTTTCACAGCACTGAGAGAGAACTCCCTATTCAATGTCATGACCAGGTTTTCTTTTTCTGTGCGTACAGTGTCAGTGGCTGACTACATATCCCGGGCTGATTCTCAGAGCAGAGAGATGACAACCACCAAGGACACCAATAAAAACCATGATGTGGTTAGTATCTAAATGTCACGTCTTTATTCTGGATGGTTTCTATTTCTACCCCTCAATTTAGATGCTTTCTTTATGAAATATGGCATTCCCCGCAACTTAAGGTTGAATTTGTTTATTTTTATAAATGATATGGTCACAGGGCAAAGAACCAAATCAAATACTGTTAAAACCTACTTATGTAAAATAACAATCCACATATTGGAAAAAAGAATGATCGATATAATATGTAGGATATAGTTAACCGCTAACAAGTACATCATTATTCTCATAAGTACATTGTCAATGGTCACATCTAACTGGAGGGTCAATAGTAATGGTTTGTGCTCTAAACCTCAACCATTTTACCAATCGATCGTCAGAGATAACAACTTATTTTCTCAGGTTTTCATTCCATATTTTTATTCTACAAGATTCTTACATTTGGAGTTTATTAAGTTATCATTTTTTTTAACCACTTTCGTTGTAATTTGTTTAAATATTGCTACTCTTATTACTTGGAAAAAGTAAGGATCTGTGTTATACTTTCTCAGTAGAAGGAGAAGTGGGTTTTTAATTTAGAGAGTTCTCTTGTAGATGATTCCCAGAAGCCACTTCAAGCTTTACATGACCGAAATACATCACTATGGTTATCCTTCTGCTCACCGCAGTCTCTCCAGCCTTTTGACTACATGTGTTAGTCTAACCCTCATTTCTGTCCAGGGTCAGGTGGATGCCATTGCTGAGGACAGCCCGCCGTCGGCCCCGGCAACTACCAACGGCTCTAACAACAATGCCGGAGACGGTGAGCGCAACAAGACTCCCGCCAAAGTCTCCTACCAAGGGGACTGCAACCCACAACCTGTCGCTAACGGGCTCTCCTAGTCAGACCTGGGCGAAGGAAATGGTTTCAAATATTTGAAATTCTTTGGCTGCACTCAATTGAATCTCCCTGTCTCTGGAGCAGCTTTGTAAGGAAAGCATTTAAACACAAGCACTGTTCTCTTTTTTACAAGTATTTGAAACCTGTTCCGCAGTTTAAGAGGTCTGAACTCCCCTTTACACGTGTTCTGTCCAACTATTCATTTTAATCGTTTTTTTTTTTTATTACAATAGTTCTTCCTGTATAAGCTTGCCAAAGATAGTCAAACACACACGGACATCTACTTAACTGTACTTCTCAGTCCACTCTTCACTGAATGCAGTATTTATAAAATGGTAAAAAAAAAACAATATCATAGCAGGATTTTAGAACGTGTCTGCCTTTACCAGGTGGACTCGCAACCTTTTTTCAGGATGTTTTGTGCATCTGAAGTAGTAAATAAAATATTCTGCATGAGCAGCACCACCGTACAGATAGGTTTGTTCGGAAACCCAAGTATGTCTGACATACATGTGATCATCTGTTGTGCCTTGAGAGTAGATTCAACATGTTGTTGCCTGGCTCTGCACAACATCTGAAATCTTTTCACTTATTTCCGTGTTACTCCATCGCCTCCTTGAGCTCCATGGGTCCTTCTGGCACTGTAGGCAGGTGGAGGCCAACACTGAAAGAGCGTGAAAGGATTTCGCAGGCATATCTCTATAAAATCAGGTGTGTCTATTCTTAATGTTTGTGGAGAAAATGAGTCCAGTTATCCTTTATATATATATATATATATATAAATATATCTGTTGAGGAGTTTGACATTAGCTGCTTTCTGTTTTTCAATATGCAACCACTTTGGTCATATAAGAATTGTTATAACTGCGTGTCTGGAAAAGAAACAAACAATTGAGGAGTTGTTTTCTTCGCACTGAAACATAACCTTTTTTTCTCTTTAAAAAGTTGATTGTAGTTGAGTCTGGAAACTGTCCTGTTAAGTGCTGGACAGAAATGTAGCCATCAGTGTTGGGTTTCCTGGAAACATCGAATTAACATCAGGCACTTTGAATTTAGAGCAAGAGGGTTAATGAGTGCTGTTTTCTGCCATACATCCAGCTAAATGAAGAGAATCAAAGCTCATTTAGAGCGTCTTAGGGGTTATTATACCCTTTGTATGCCCCTTATTGCAAAAGTCCTGTGTTGACAACCCTGGTGTGATGTTTCTAGAAAACAAAGCCCAGGTAACGATGATGTCATTTTCATGGTTCTTCCACAGACTGGCTAGCTGGAAACTGGTCACGACTGTTCCACTAAGAAAGGAGATTTATTTGGTTTATTTATTTTAAAATGTACAGTATTTAAAAAAAATAAAAAAGCAAAAAAAAGAGAAGCTCTCCTTTTTCTTGACACTAAAATATGCGTTACCTAGGGTTTTTCTGAGACAAATGACAATTTGGACTACTGAGAGTTGTGACATCCCAAGTGTTTTTGTTGGGTCAACTACAGTACGTTTTGTTTTTTTAAAGGATCATTCTGGTTGGTTGATGTGCAATATGTTTTGTATGCAGGTAGTTCTTAAATAAACTCGATCTTCCATGTAGATCTAAAACTCAACTGTGTCTGACTCTTTGAAAAAAGCAATATGACATAAGTGGGACAAATACAATGCAAAATGGTGTTTGATTCAGTTTGGACCTGAAAGAGTGAATGTTATCTGATTTACATTTTAAGACTTACATTTTTCTAGAGGAGCATGATGAGTTCCTGTTTATACTCTTCCACTTTTTAGGATTTACCCATGAAATTATATTTAAGTAGCTTCAAACCTACAGTAGGTATAGGATCAACCATTTGTGTTAACTATTTATGTTTGGCAATTAATTCTAGAAATAGGTCACTTTAGGACGGACCATGTTTATTTTAATGATGAATAAAATATAGTTTAAGTCCCCGTTTGTGTAAAAGACCTCCTTTTCAATCTAAAACACAATGAAAGATTTAAGTACAATTGCATTGATGATTTGTACAGTGTGATTTTATTTGAGAACAATCGGTTAGAAAAGTCTGGTAATTGCTCATTTGAGTCAGTGTGGATGAAAAGTATGACTTCATCTCCTCTACTTCTTTCCCGCGGCATCCAAAAAATCCTTTGCTTCGTTTATCTTAGCTGCTAGGTAGGGAGATCCTCCTGTGACACACATTGAGATTCAAGAAAGCCCAAATGAATCATCTGAATCATTGCAAACATGCTGCATGCATACATTTCCAAATAATGTAATTTTCAGAAAAACAAGCCGTTTTTCAACAAGAGGGGAAAACTTATAATAAAGCAGATGAATGCAGTGTACTGTGGATACACTTTGTATTTCATGTGAGACATTAAAAGGAACATACAGGAAGGAACTTAAGTAAGCCTTGCTTACTTCTATCTGGATGGTTCAGGGTCATCAGTTTTCTATGTGCCTCTCTGACCTTTATCTTGTTGGCTGTGGGACTGCAAGGGGAACAAAGATACAACATAACTATGTGAATGGTGGTGGTTAAGAGTTGATCTGCTGCAATAGTAGGGATGGGTATCGTTAAGGTTTTAATGGTACTACTACTTTTACCGCTTATCGATCCGGTCTTTTAACGGTACTCTTATCGGTTCTTTTGGAGAAAAAAACAAGGTAAACTAGCCTAACTAAACAAATTGTGAACAAAATTAACATTGCTTTTTATGTAAATTAAATAAATAATATTTCACATCAAAAGAAACAATACAAATCGTATTAAATAATCTGATGACAGAATTGTAAACAGAATAGCTGAAACTTTAACAAAATAAATAATTCATTTACCTCTAATCATTAACCCATGTTTGTATCATTGAGTTAACTCTGTGTGTTTCTGCTGGCATACATAATACACCTGACGTGGAAACGTTACTTGTGGATGGGGTTATAGAGCTAGAAAGACAGTCAAAAACCATGTATTTCTCCGTGTGAATGTGGTGCACTTTTGCTAAATGTTTAGACTAATTGCTCGTGTTACCGCCCTTACATGCTAAACTCTTTTGGTAACGAGCATTGTCCACATCGAGACGGGTAAGGTTTAACCACACCTTGGAGGTGTTCTCTCCGCCATCTCCTCCGTGTGTGTGTGTGTGTATGTTGCTGCATGTAGCAGCCGCGTGTGTGTAAACTGCCCCGCTCCCTCGCACACAGACGGGGGAGAGAGATCTCTGCATTGGAAAGATCGAAAATACAAAAAAATGTGCAGTCTTTTTGCATATTAGAAACGGAGTTGGCAACACTAAAACTGCAATATAATGTTTGTGTAGCATAATATATATGACATATTTTTTTAGATGTCTCCAGTACCGATAAAAAGATTGATAACGTCGGAGCTTAACGGTACCACGGCCTATAATAATCCAGCCCCGGGGCCCGTTTAATACCGGGGCTCGGTACCCATCCCTATGTAATAGGGAGTTCAATTACAGACGACGGCTCTTAACCCATTTGACGTACTGTAACATAACTGAGTGTCCACATACCTGACACCTAAAACCAGGGAAGCTTCTCTCTTGGACATCTTTGGATCAAATCCACCTTTATAGTACCCTCCTCCAAAAGCCTGAAAGAAAGAAAGAAAATGTACATTTCATATCACAACATGATGGGTCTGCCAACTTTACTTACAAACAAGCTAATTAGTAAAAGGTAATGCGAGTACAAGAGATAAACAGCACATATAGTCATTTTAATTTGCAGATAAACTTCTTCTGAGCATCTCCTTACTGTTTTTGGGAAGCTCTGAATAGCCATTTTCATTTGAGGCTCCATCTGCTTCATGGCCTTCATGGCATAGCGACCTGAGACAAAGAAGAGGGAAGCATGCAGTATATTTATATCGTGTGATATTAATATTCGTGAGGTCTACTATTTTTAACACTAAAACAAAAAATAAACTGTCATTTTTTAAGTCAGGCTGGGTGTTTTTTATTCCATATGACTATCACTGTATTGCAAACGTAACGAATGATTACTATTAAATTCTTCGGCATTACATCAGGAAAACAATAAAGAAATAGACCAAACTTTACTCATGTTGTTAGTTTTAGAAAACGATGTTTAAATAATTTATTTACAACACATTGCAAGTCAAAACAACATTTCACAAAACACAACGACATTTCAAAAAACACTTCAGCATTTCACAAAACGCTACAGCATTTCAGAAAACACTTCAACATTTAAAGGGTATTCCTTTAGGGAGAACACTTCTTGTTTGTGATTTGACAGAGCCAGCCAGAGAAGCACTGCTGTGATTGGTTGTTTTTGCTGCCAGTCCAGAAATGACGCTTCGTGATTGGTCAGCACCCGACAGCGCCACGTATTTGGTTTGGTACTATTCAGCTGTTTCTGCACGAATTTTAAACTGAGTGGTAAAGAATGGAAGAAGAGATGGACATCTTATGGGAATATTTTAACAACGGATATACATATGATGTTATCCTCGACATGCTGTCAACCTATCAGCACATCAACATGTCCCAAAACATCAGCCGTTAGCTGTTGGCACACAGAGCTCACAGCTCCTCATATCTGTTCAGAAACTGGACAAAAGTTAAACATGTACAAAACACAGACTGTCGGTGTCATGGCGAATACAGTCACTGCTTTATTTCTGTCTGCATGACGTTGTTGTGAGTTTGGACGGAGCAGCTACAGGTTATTTTAGCCTGATCGATCCGATCTCCATTCAGAAAACACGCATTTTAAAGGTTTTTTGCCTGCCGGTGTTACAGTATAACTAGAGTCATGACAACTGGCGGCATTCTATTATTTTCGTCACATGAATCCGGGGCGTGTACATTGAGGACCCTTTGTTGACTTACCAGGAAATAATTTCGATCGCCTCGTTTGTCGTTTACATTCTAATACGGTAGCATTTGTACATCGTTCTTAATGTGATGTATAGTAGCTATGATAGCTGTCCATACCTTCAGACAGCCTAAAAGTAAAACACAATAATAAAAATGCTTGCATGACATGTCCTTTGTTAAACATTAAGCTGTCTTTGGCTCTTTTCTGCTGTAACAAATGTAAATCTCCCCTCTGTGGGACGAATAAAGGTATTCTGATTCTGATTACATTTAACCTGTTGTGGAAACATTTCTTGATCAAATTGATATGAAACAAATGAGATAAATATCGCTGTGACACTGATGTCACATCGGGACATTAACCCTAAACATTCACAGTGACATATGCACAATTAGAAATATGATTATGATCTGCTCAGTTAATTTAGCCGATTAAATTATATTTAGTTCATATATTCTTTATTCTTCAATTCAAAGTATGTTCAAACAAATGTAAACCAAAAAATCATCCTCATTAATTAAAGGTGGGGTAGGTAAGTTTGAGAAACCGGCTCGAGATACACTTTTTGTTATATTCCATGGAATGCTCTTAACATCCCGATAGCAATGAATATCTTAAGTGCTTTGACAAAAAAATCCATAAAAAAATGTCATCTGTGGAAGCCGTAATACTCTAAAAAGCACGACCAATCATTTTAGTCGGCCCGGCTAAAATAACTGGATGGCCTACCTGCCTGTCAGCCTTCCATCTGTGCACAAACTTATCTCGTGCCCTCATTGGTCATGTGCGCGTTCGTGTGTGTTGGAGGAGGGGCTCTGTAAGGAAGTGGGAGATTTTTTCCGGCTGTGTATTTTCAAATTCTAGCGATCTCGAGCTGGTTTCTCCAAAATTACCTACCCCACCTTTAAGTTATAAATAAAAGTTACTTTACCATTAAAGCTCAATGTGACATATATGTCACATTTCAGATATGTGACACTAGGGGGGGGGGGGTTACTTGTCAGTAAATAAATTATTTATTTAAGTTTGCAATGTTTTGAACAGGCATCCACACAATCACCTACTTTGTAATGTTCGATACCTCCCTGTAAGCGTCACGATATCGACCTCTCACCCACAACCTCACATACGAGTACTGAATGTGCATCAAAGTGATCCTATGTAGGCAGATATAGCAAAAGATGAATGTAAACGACAAACGAGGTGATCAAAATGTTTATTTCCTGGTAAGTCAACAATGGGTCCTCAATGTACACGCCCCGGATTCATGTGATGAAAATAATAGAATGCCGCCAGTTGTCATGACTCTAGTTATACTGTAACACCGTCTTGTTTGCACACTTGTCAAAGCATTAATTCATGGTTTTTACTAACCGGTATCAGTATGTTGTTACTTCGGCATCATTTTGAAACGTGTATTATAATTAAATCACGGTAAAATATGTTCATTTTGTTGTAGTTGGTTTCTACCATAGTATTTACATGGAGATAAGCCCCGAATATTCGCATCGCTCTAATCGCTCGAGTCTCACCGCGGCTGTCAGCTGTATTTACTCCCGTCATTCAAACAGGACGCGCTGGAGAGGGGGCGGGGCTTATATCCATGAAAACACTTTGGTAGATACCAACTACAACAAAATGAACATATTTTACCGTGATTTAATTGTAATACACGTTTCAAAATGATGCCGAAGTAACAACATACTGATACCGGTTAGTAAAAACCATGAATTAATGCTTTGACAAGTCTGCAGACAAGACGGCAGGCGAAAAACCTTTTAAAATGCGTGTTTTCTGAATGGAGATCGGATCGATCAGGCTAAACTAACCTGTAGCTGCTCTGTCCAAACTCACAACAACGTCATACAGACATAAATAAAGCAGCGACTATATTCGCCATGACATAGACAGTCTGTGGTTTGTTCATGTTTAACTTTTGTCCAGTTTCTGAACAGATATGAGGAGCTGTGAGCTCTGTGTGCTAATGGCTGATGTTTTGGGACATGTCGGGTGCTGACCAATCATGAAGCGTCATTTCTTGACTGGCAGCAAAAACAACCAATCACAGCAGTGCTTCTCTGGCTGGCTCTGTCCAATCACAAACAAGAAGTGTTCTCCCTAAAGGAATACCCTTTCCGTAAAAGTTGAAATGTTGAAGTGTTTTGTGAAATGCTGTGGTGTTTTCTGAAATGTAATTGTGTTTTATGAAATGTTGAAGCGTTTTGTGAAATGTTGAAGCGTTTTGTGAAATGTTGTAGCGTTTTCTGAAATGCTGTGGTGTTTTCTGAAACGCTGTAGCATTTTCTGAAAAGCTGTAGTGTTTTGTGAAATGTTGTTTGACTTGCACTTCAGGGCCACCGTAGATAACTAATCAAACTATAACTCTGTAATATATGATACTGAATTAAAGCTAACTCAAAAAATGCTGCATTTTGAGAAACTGTTTATCTGGAACTGATTGTCTTAATTTCATGTTTTAAAATGATAACCTCTGTTTATCTTTTCACCAAGCTTCTATTCTAAGTGAAGCATTTACCATTAACGTTACATTATTTGTATGTTTGTCAACTTTGAATTAAAGTCGCCTCAAGGTGAACTAATTCTTAGTTTAACTTTTCCACATTCTCTGTCAAGGTGAGTCATACAGTGTTTATCAACATGGTCTCACCTGCATATCCAGCTGCTGCCAGAGCCAGTCCCACAGCCACTATGGAGGCCTGGAGATAGTAGAGAAGAGTCAGAAATACATTAGCCTATGTTATTAAATTATAAAGACACACAGTACTTCTATTCACAAGCTGTCATTCATTCGCAATATAAACAATGCCACATGACCAAGGTAACGCATGTGTCGAAGCCTATGCAGTTAACGTTCGCTACGTTTATCTTAAAATCACAATGTTTTATCTCTTGCCATGCTAATGTTGTAAGCTGGCTAATGTTGTAAGCTGGCTAATCAAAGCGTTATATCAGACGTGAGCTGGGTTTGGTCACGTTGTGTTTGGTAATGCAAGTGCAAGGAAGGCGAACGTTAGCCCTTCAGAACAAACGTTATAGAGTTTTCTTCCGGCAGAGTCGTTATCATGCAGCTGCTTACTGACGTTCTCCCCAGTTCGTAAATAACAAGTCCAACTTACCATGTTTGTGTATTACGTCTCGTCTCTGTTAAAGATTACGATCATAACTTTTGACCTCTCATGTTTTCGTTGCTATATGGCGCTGGTTGCTGCATGTGTTTGTGCCGGAAATAGCGGAGAACTGTCGCAAAGCGTTGACATCCGCTGTTCGCTCTCTGTCAATCCTCCCCTGGGTTGCGGTCGAATAGTCCACAAATCAGCTTCATCGTCTATCCCTTGACCTCTGAGTGAAACGTCATGGGGTTAAGGGATAGTGGATAGGAGAATTCAAAAGGATTTAGGAGAAGAGACTGCGGTACTTTAGAGAATCCGACTGCACTTTCACTATCCGACGTGTTTATGATGCGCCAGCGGACGTCATAAATGTGCGTCTGCTGCTGTGGGGAAACTATGGAAACTACAGTTTTCTATACAGCGGACTACAACATGGATGTATAATAAGAACGAGGGACTACTGTAAACTCATCTAGAGACTCTGCACCGTGCTCTGATGCTGTTGTTTTATGCTTTATGAACGGGGACAACAGAGAAACATATTCTTCCTGACCAAAGTTGGAATTGAAATAAAAAAGGAAAGTGAAACTTATGCTCGTCACCCTCTCCCTCCGGTCCACATTAATACAAATGATCCCAATACGTATGATTGTATGAAAAGATCTTAAAATCAATACAAATGTATTTATTATAAACGTTAGTGCTTAACATCTATCACTGTGTATATCACCATTCAAACATCTTTTAAAAGTTGAACAAACCCCACACAGCTCAGTAAAGACTGAAATGTTGACTTTATTTGACCATTTCAGTAAAAACTAACGTTCATATTTCTCTTTTTGATTATAATACTGATGAACGTTCAAAACAAAGCACTTTGGCAACTTACCACATACGTTTTAAAATGCTTAATAAGCACCGTAACTTTCATGATATAATTTCTCGTTCATAATCGGTTGTTTCCGTGAACGGCCGACTGTTGTGTGACGGCAAATGCCGCGGGCGCGGCCGCAAGGCATTCTGGGGCAGCATTTTCTCCTCTCCTTTAGGTTAGGGAGGTCCTGTAGTGATGGGAATTCCGGCTCTTCTTGGTGAGCCGGATCATTTGGCTCGGCTCACCAAGAAGAGCCGGCTCTTTCGGCTCCCAAACGGCTCTTCAGTTTACCACATATTATACCTTTTATAATTCAATCAAATGTAGCCCTGTTTTGACTAATGATTTATATGTGTACACATATCACTTAAATTATTCAATACATCCTTTGTACTGAAGTATTCAAAAGTAAAAATTACATGTTTAATATAAATTATTTGCTGCATGTGGCCAATTGTTTTCATTGCATTTACAGACCCTTGTATCTCTCTGATACCACCCAATGAATGCACAGACTTGCTTGTAGAACCACGCTACACAAAGCAGATAGCAACACCTATAAAAACTTAAGCATAGACATTTAAAAAAAGGGGCTACTGTATCGACATTTTAAAATTATATTTAAAGAAAAGGCCCTGACTAAACAGCAGGGCTCTATTTCAGTATTAACTATAGAAAAAAAGACAGCAACAGCTGACATCAAATCTTTGCTGAGCCCAAGGATAATCATAAATAAATAACATAGTGAAAATAAATATATTGCAATGCTCAGTACAGCAGCATCCAACCGTCTCTAATCATAAAAAAACATAATACAAATAAATGTATTGCAATGCTCAAAACAGCAGCATCCAACAGTCTCTAATCCTTGGATATTACATGCCACTGCATGCATGCACGGAGCAGCTGTAGCGCGGAGATCATCATATCATTCTGTCTTGTATTACTTAACAAAAAATAACAAAAACAAAAAAACGGCTCGTTCGCGGGCGCGAGCCGGCTCCCGTCGTTCACTTAAAAGAGCCGGCTCTTTGAGCCGGCTCGTTCGCGACCGACACATCACTAAGGTCCTGTGGTTCCTAAGCTAAAGGAGGTTATAAAGGAAGTTTGAAACCTCCTTTCCTTTCATTTAGAGAATTCGAACGGCACTTATCATGGCTGCCACTGAGGGACTTCCGGGTCATTTCACTCCGACAGGAAGGTTCCTAAGCTAAATGGACTATAGAGTGGCGAAGTCCCTCCCACTTACTTCCGGGGTATGGGACCTTATTTCGGAAAAATTATGCATTGAAGTCAATGGGGAGAGAAAACTTATCTTTCGATCCCGTTTGAATTGTGCCATGAATTACACATATGATGTTTGTCAATCTTAAAAAATCATTTCCATGTCAAAAAAGTCACAGTTTGTCGTAAAACTGTTGAAATATAAGACTATGAAAAATACGTAACTAGAAAGACTACAAATCCCAGAGTCGCGTAAGTGATGTCACAATTGTTTACCTCCACCATTCAGATACCTAAGATCAGCGCAATATAGATATAATCTATCTATATGGCGCTGGCTAAGATAAGATAACTTTAACAAGATGCCTGTGTGCTTAGTACCAGGTTGTTATTATACCAGCAATGGGTCTTGCTCGTTCTTTTGCTTCCCGTCTGATGAAACGACCAGGAGTGGCTTGATCAAGTTAGCTACCTAGCTAGTAGCTAGCACGTTAGTTAGCATTACAGCCTTGTCATTTTTATTAGCCTTAACATTAAGTAACATTAAGTAACCCAAAATGTTAAACAGTAAGAGTAGTAGTCATATTTCGTGAACCCTTTGAATAGTACTGTCACCGGTGTGATCATTCTATAATACACCATTTAATTCCGGGGGAGAAATGCTAACGCTAACGTTAGCATCGGCGATCTTTTCTACTTCATGCTATCTGCACAAATGGTTGACATTAAACATTAAAACGACCAGGCAGTTCAGAGAGAATCAAAGGAAGGCAGGCAGGCAGCTTTGCATGACATTCTTCAGGACGTGTTTCATTGTGGTGATAGTCAATCGTTTGTTGACAAGACAGTAGTGACGGCCATCTTGGTGACGTGTGTGGTTGACCAGAGATGTAGTTCATTTAGCGTTTCACACAAACAAATGTGTTACTTCACAGTTTTACGACACATTTTTTTTTTTTTTACTTGCAAAATTATCTTTTAAATTGACAAACATCATATGTGTAATTCGTGGCACAATTCAAACGGGATCGAAAGATAATCTTTCTCTCTCCATTGACTTCAATGCATAACTTTTCCGAAATAAGGTCCCATGGGGCTCAACCGGAAGGGGAGGGACTTCGCCACTCTATTCGACCGCAACCCTGGTATTCGGTCGAACTGTGTAATTGGCTGATTTGAATATCCGGCCCCGCCCACGACACTATTTAATCCCCCAGACCTGCACTACAACGTTTGATAGCAAATTATCCTTCTGAATGCAGGTTAAAGATTGGAGTTTACTTTTTTGGAGGTAAAGAAAACCTTATTTTATTTTTCAATGTTGTTACCTTGACAGATAGCTAAGACAGCAGTATATTTCTATGAGGTTCAGCTAAAATGTGGGCACATGTTCTAATGTTAGCTAATGTAAACCTGCATGCAAACATTCACCTTTCCTCTAAAAGCTTGTGTTTTAAAACAACTGCAAACATTTGAAAGGCTACCTATCATTTGGCATGCCCATGTTCTTGATATTAACATACATTGCAATGTGTCATTAAGAGGATATAAAGCTGGGGAATGTAGGACCCATCATATTGATAATGGTATTTGTGGCTATAGCTTTACCTTACTGCACTGCTAATGCTGCAACCTTCCACAAATATGGTAAATGCTGTTATTTTACCTAAATGGCTAATGTGAGTATTTAAACTGCACCAATGCAATGCAGGCGGAGAGTTGAAATAAATAGGAAACTAATGCTTGCAAATTTAGCTATGTAACTTGTGTCCAACAATATGGTCACAATTGACTTTTTAAAGGATCAGAATCAGAATCAGAATCAGAATACCTTTATTAGTCCCACAGAGGGGACATTTGCATCGTTACAGCAGGAAAGAGCCACAGACAGCTTAATGTTACCTATGTTAAGAAAAAAGTACTAAGTTATGATATAATAAAAAATATAATATAAAAAATAAAAGTAAAAGAAAAATACTTTCCAAAATACAAATCCTGTAACGGACCGTCCACACAGCAGCGTTAAAAAATCTTGAAACGCTTCTGCCCATTCACTTTGAATGGGGTGACGTCACTTTCCCTCACTTTTCGCCGAACTGCATTGTGGGCAGGCGAGCGGAGATTTTCAGGATTTTCAGGATTCAAAGTTGAGCAATGTTCAACTTTTGAGGCTGAGGTGGAAGCGTCAGCCAATCAAATCCCGTGTACGCAAATCTGACAGTTCAAACACTAGCCAATCAAACCGCGTTTATGCTGGGAGAGACATACCGCAGGTCATTTCCTCATATTCCAAAAAATGGAGGAGAAATTAGCGGTAGGGAATCACCCGGTGCTTTATGACCAGTCCCTATTTACCTACCGGGATATAAACCGGAGGAGCCAGGCATGGAGGGAGGTGGCAGAGACAGTGGTAGGTTTTCGCCTGTTTGGGGAGTTTATATCCAGTTTACTTCGGACTTTTTTGCTTCGTATGTCGCGGGCGGGAGATTCATGTGATTGGTTGTTGGTGCCTTGCTCGCAAAAAACCCTCAAGCTTCAGATACGCCCACCTCCAAGATTTTTTTAACGCTGCTGTGTGGACGGGCCGTAACAGTTCTTAGGATTTAGCAGCCAGGTATACAGTATATTACACAGTTATTAATGGCATATGTATATAATGTATATATTGCACATATAGCACATATTGCACATAGTATGATGGTATTTAACTGCAGCAAGTTACACAATTTACAAGATACAAAATGCAAAAAAAAACACACCTTGTAACGGTTCTAAGGACTAGCAGCCAGTTATAAATTACACAGTTATTAACGGCATATATATATTGCACATATAGCACATATTGCACATAGTCGCTGAAGGAGTGAGGAGGTGGTGGGACATATTGTCCAGCAGGGAGGACAGCTTGGCTGCCATTCTCCTGTCTCCCACCACCTCCACAGTGTCCAGAGGACTCCCCAGGACAGAGCTGGCCTTCCTTACCAGTCTGTTCAGTCTCTTCCCGTCAGCAGCCGAGATGCTGCTGCCCCAGCAGGCCACACCATAGAAAATGGCTGATGCCACAACAGAGTCGTAAAAAGTCTGAAGGAGTGCCCCCTGCACCCTGAAAGACCTCAGTCTCCTCAGCAGAAAGAGTCTGCTCTGTCCCTTCTTGTACAGAGCAGCAGAATTATCAGTCCAGTCCAGTTTATTGTTCAGGTGAACACCCAGGTATTTGTAAGATTACACAATCTCAATGTCCGCTCCCTGGATGTTCACTG